AATTACTAGACTTTTGCTATTGTTAGTCCCAGTCATTGTTGCATCCTCTCAATATTCTTTAGTCATCTCCTAAGTCAAGTGGAAGTAAATAAAAATCACATTTAGGCCAGCCAATTTCACCCTCAGTGATCCCCAAGTTCCTGATCCTGAACCTGAAATCCAAACCTTTTATTGCCAAACACCCACCTCCCACTGGCAAATCCTCTCGAGAAGACTCTATTTCCCCATAGAGGATGCACAACAACCCGAAAAACTGGGAGTGGGAACAACAACATGCAATTAAAGGCAATTCAAATGGGGCCACGCCTATCCATCCGCCCACGCTATTGATGCAAGGACGAAAAGGAGTAGGAGTTGCCAACTTCCCAACTTGCCAAGATGGGCAAACTGAATGGCAAGCAAATGCCTGAATGAGTGACAGTCTTAATTACAGAGAGATTAGCATTGGCCAGGAACTGAAAAGTGGAAGAAAATGCGGGGCAAATGCGGAAGAAGGGTGTGAGCTTGGAGGAGCCAGAAGGAGCCACCAGGATGCAGACGTATTCAATGTCACGTTCCACTGGAGGACGACGACTTAGACGATAAAAGGGCCCAGCCAGGTGAGTGCCGACTGGCGATGGTAAATGGCAGGTGCCCCCACCAAATGCACTGCGAATCATATCTAGCTGCTCTACTTTTAATCAACCTAGTCTTATAATATATATCATAAATCCAGTTACCCTTGAGCCCCCTTTCAGTGTTATACCTTAAAGGTAAAACGAATTTTAGTTTGGAACAACAGCAAAAAACTTACCCCGAAAATGAGCGGAAAGGAGAACGACCCAAATGCTGCAGATCCAGAGGTCTACGAGTGTCGCATCTACGGTCTTCTACCCTATATCCCGAAGGTCACCTATTGCCGTCACGAATTCTGCAAGAATCTACAGGTCAAGAACAAGAAGGGTGTTGGAAATCGTCCCAAAGCCCCCAAGGGAAGACAGATGTTCAAGCACCTGTACATATGAATATTCTTATGAATCTATAACTAACTAGTTATTTGTTTCTAACATTATGGTTGTGATTAAACTGTGCATATAGAAAATAAAGCAAGACAAGGGGTTTGAGATCTTTTAAAAAGATGTCTAAAAGTATGCTGTGAAAAAAGAACATCGTCTTTTGAAATGCATTCGGTGGGTTTATAGATTCAAAAAATAGTTTATAGTTTTATAGCAATATTTTAGTCATTCTAGTATTATCTTGATTTTTTTTTTATATTTTAAAGTGTGCTGTAGAAAAAGGAACATCGAATTTCGGTATAAATTCGGTGGACTTTTAGATTCGAAATATAAGTTTGCATACCTTTCGACACCCTAGAACTTCCTTGATTATTTTGATATTATATTGCATATTGTAATAACCAATTCCTATATACTTTAGAATCATTTCGACATAGATATGCTATCAGATTCATTTTTAATGGTATCCCTATTCTTTCCAAGTGTACTTCTGCTCCTGATCTTCCGTTTTCATCCTGTTCCCCGCACTCCCCGATCCACCAAACTGGATTTTCCTTCACTTTTTTTTGTGCAACCTTTTTTTCCGCTCCTTTGTTACATTTGATTGTCGCAAACGAAGTGGAAAAGCAAATGTTGCACAAACACACGCGGAAAAGGGGGCTTTCGGTGGGGTGGTGGGTGGGGAAGGAAATGCACACTAATTACTCCTTGGCAGTGGGAGTGGAAAACCCTTTTTACTTTTCCGCTACCCTGCCCAGGCCATTTTCACAATTTTTTCCTTGGCTCTGCCTTGCTTTTATTTGCCTTGCCTTCTTTCGTTCTCCATTCAGCCTTTCACTCAAGAGCTTCCCCCCCTCGCTCCGCATGATAATTGAAATGGCGAGCGCCCCTGGAGTGTGGGACGGCGAAAAGGGGGGGCTCCCAAGTCAAACACAATACCCCCGTACCCCATGGCGAATAAAAAATGAAAATAATAACAACAAACCAACAATATTAATAACTTGCCACGCAGCGCAATCATAATACAAAGGGCCAATTGAAAATACGATTTCGATTTAATTTCAATTGGCACTTGTATACTAAATAGACAATATACAGATGAAATTACCACTTACGAATGCCAATCCATCCTTAATTTGTGTTTATATGTTTTAGGTAATTAAAAAAAATTTATATTAAATCCAAAAGGGCCTGCAAAACTATAGAATATCTGGTAATCAGATATTATGCTCCTTAGAATGGGTTAATATTGCTTATAATATTTTCTACATTTTTTAAGCCAAACTCCTGATTTTCCCTCCTTGTTTACTTTCTATGCCTTAAGTTCAATGTCAGTTGGACTAACAAAAAATCCCGGTGAAAATGGAAAACTTTCGCTTTAGATCTCCGCTTGCCAACTTTATCCTTTTTTGTTTTATTTTATTTTTTGCTATTTCTGGGTTTTGGCTATCGATCAATTGCAGAGTCTGGCACGGACATTTAAGCCAAGTGCACACTCAAAGCGATTGTTCAATACATTTCCCGCTCTCAAAGCTCCTTTCCTCCTTTCACCGGCGGGGGGAGGGGGGGCTGGTGGCCAAAATGGGAGGTCCTTGGACCTTTATCTACTTTGTCCAGTATTGGCAGGCGATACGCATAAACAGACAGCAAAATGAGCGCGACTACAAAGAAAACGCCAACGCAACAGAAGCGCCATTCTGAAAACCATTGGTATTACGGAAAAATCGAACATAAAAATGGGCTAAAATTTTGACCCTTTCAAAAAATATAAATTAAAATGTAAGTTATTAGATAATTCAACCACAAACTCATAGAGGTATCCCGCATCAAAATCGGGATTCAATTACCCAAGTTACGGATTATAGAACTGCAGTTTTGGGTCACCATACTGAAATCATGGGAAATACGGAAAAATCGAACATGAAAATGGGCTAAAATTTTGACCCTCTTAAAAAAGATAAGTTAGAATGTAAATTATAAGAGAATTTCACCACAAACTCATAAAGATATCAACCTTCAAAATCGGAATACAATAACTAAAGTTATGGAGTCTAGAAGTTCAGTTTTCGGTTCTCATTCTGAAAACCATTGGTATTACGGGAAAATCTAACATGAAAGTGGGCTAAAATGTTGACCTTCTTAAAAAGGATATCCTATAAGAAAGTTATAAGAGAATTCCACCACAAACTCATAGAGGTATCAACCTTCAAAATCGGGATCCAATTACCCAAGTTATGGATTTTAAGAAGTGCAGTTTTGGGTGACCATACTGCAATCATTGCAAATACGGAAAAACCGAACATGAAAATGGGCAAAAATTTTGACCCTCTTAAAAAAGATAAGTTAGAATGTAAATTATAAGAGAATTTCACCACAAACTCATAAAGATATCAACCTTCAAAATCGGAATAAAATAACTCAAGTTATGGAGTCTAGAAGTTCAGTTTTGGGTTCTCATTCTGAAAACCATTGGTATTTCGGGAAAATTTAACATGAAAATGGGTTAAAATTGTGACCCACGTTTAAAAGATAGATTTTAATGTAAAATATTAGAGAATTCAACCACAAATTCATAGAAGTATCCCACTTCAAAATCGGATTCCTACAACTCAAGTTATAGAATCTGGAAGTGCAGTTTTGGGTTCCCATACTGAGTGAAATTGGAAATACGGAAAAATCGAACATGAAAATGGGTTAAAATTGTGACCCTCGTTTAAACCAAAGATTGTAGTGTAGAATATTAGAGGTTTCAACCACAAATTCATAGAGCTATCCCTCTTCTAAATCGGCATCCAATTACCCAAGTTATGGAACATAGAAGTGCAGCTTTGGAAACGATTCCTTCTACCTGGTACATAATTTTCACTTGATACAGAAACCCGGTTTCTCTACAAGTAACGATATATATATATATAGTTTTACATTTTGGCGCGTTTTATGTCAAAACGGTTGAGATAAAATGTTTTCCTATAAAAGCTCTCTATTCTCTTTAAATACCGAGGAAATTTTTAAATAACAAAATTCATTTTCAAGCCTTAGCTTTAAATATGTAAGTAAAAACTAATCATTTACAACTTTAAACATTTCAATAGGTACATTTAACAACAAACTTGAAAGCTTTTTAAGCTCTGTAAGTCATTACATTTACATAAGTTTACATTACATATGTTATCGATAAATAAAATCGTTAGCGCGCATTTAAATTGAAAAGCAACTGTGGTTTTAAAAAAAATTATGCTTACCCTTGCATAAAATAACGAAATATTTCTTATTCAGATAAATAATTTTGAAATTTGAGGTAATCAAATGTTAAAGTAATTTTGAAGCAGGCTTTCGAATGAACGAAATGTATAAGTTTTCAACACTCAGAAACCTTTGACCCCCAAATCAGAGTCATACCTAGAATTCAATCGAACTATTGTTTGGAAAAACATAACTAAACCAAAATGAGTGGAAAGGAGAACAAATCATATCCCGGAGATCCACCAGTCTTCAAGTGTCGCATTTGCGTCCTGCTACCTAAAATTCCTGTAGTCACCTATTGCCGTCACGAATTTTGCGCGAGTTTGGACATCAAGAACTCGAAGCGTGTTGGATATCGTACCGAAGCCCCCAAGAGAAGGCAGATGTACAAGCACCTGTACATATGAATATTCTTGTGCATCTATAACTAACTAGTTATGTGTTAATAAAAGTATGTTAATATTTACTTAAGGAGACCACTGAGTAATCACTATTAACTCTGATAAGGGTAAAAGTAAGTATAATCCGGTATTTATACATTGTATTTTTTTCGGATTATTTAAGAAGGCCTTTTTTAATAGCAGCAGTCAATCAGAGCTTAACAATTTCACTGATAAGGCTATTGAATCTTAAGAAAGACCGTGTATACATATACAGTCGAACAGTCGATATTCTGAGAATTCAATGAAATGGATACATACAGCTACACATTTTTCAGCCAACAGAAAACGGTGATTCCCCCAAAATGGCCAGTTTCTTCCGTTTGGGTAGTACATATTTATTAAGGTGAAATCAAAATGTTCTTATTCATATATGTAGGCTACATAGAGTTTTACTTTTCGCATATATTTATGACTCATAAATTATGAGATATATGTACGACGATCGAATAAACCCGCGAATCACATCAAGCACGAAGGACGCTTGCAGCAGATCAGTTATACAAATTCAAAATGAGGGTCCATTAAGTTAGAATACAAAAAAAATGTGAAATGAGAGTAGCAACTAAATAAAGCAACTCCGATGCGGGGCATGACTCCTCCTCCGCCTGCTTTCTCCTCCTCTAACTTTTGGTCCCGACAAGGGCACTCTCTACTTCTCCTCGCACCACTCGTTCTCCTTGCGCACCTGCTCCTCCTCGGCGGGCGTAAAGTCCTTCTTGATGTTAAAGGTCTTACGGATCTCCTCGGGTGTCTTGCCCTTGATCATGTTGGCCACCGTCTTGCAGGTGAGCTCCAGCAGGCCCTTGATGTCCAGATAGTTGGCGGCCAGGATGAGCTCGAACAGAGTGCCCTGATCGACCTTCAGGAAGTCGGCGTCCCAGGAGATGATGTCGTCGGTGCGCTTCTCCTTGCTCTCATCGTCCTCCGTCGGCTGGGGATCGTCCTTGTGGTAATGGGCCCAGGTGAGCACCTTGCGCAGGATCGTCGAGTTCACATTGGGAAGGGGCACAATGGCGTTCTCGTCGTCCTCCATGCCGCAATCCTCCAGCATGGTCTTGATGGTGCCGGAGCACTTGGCGATCTGGATGTCCGTGTCGAAGATCTCCTCATCCGAAGATTGCAACTTGATGCTGGGCATTTTGCTTGGTTTTTCTGGGAAGCTAGAAATGGGTAAACAAAGATCACCGTACGGTACACAAAAAATTCCCTTATTCTGAGAAAAACTAGGTACAGAGGGTACTTTTTTTTTCGTTTTTTTCTGGAATAGGTACAAATTAAGAAACTTCTGGGAAAGAAAACGTTTTTTATTTCGCATTTCATGATTTATGCCCTATAGTGATAGATAATGATGTAGTTAAACAAATTTGACTTTACCAGGTTATAAAGATTTTTCTACACAACTTTTTGCAGGGATTTTGTTACAGCACTAGACCACAAAATATGAATTGCGATGTGCACATAACATTAAATATAACCGAAATGAAAAAGAAAAAACATCGACACTTTCCAGAAATGCGCACTCTCACACACACACGCACGCACACTTATGCAGCTGGTGTGTGTGTGTTCGTTTTCCTCGTTGTTCTGCAATATTTTTTCCAATGCATTTCCCCGGTTTTCCATTGCACCGCCACTTACCTTAGAGAGTTACTTCAAATTACTGCAACTATTTGCACAGGAATCCCTTTTGGTGTTGGAAAATAAGCACAACTTTTCGTTTTCCCTCACAGAAGTAAAAAATATTGTAGCAAGCCTCGCTATCGGCAAATCGATAATACAAAGACAATCGATAATATCAAAGTGGTCAAGAGCGTGTCTCCACTAAGTCAGGTGGGTGCATTGGCTGGCATCCCCGGTTGGTGACGCGGCTCGATAGCTTATCGATAGCCACTCGCACTCCGGCGGTATTCGTCAACGGCCCTGCCGCGGTCACACTGGTGAATCGGGATAAATCGCGGAAAAAAAAGGCAGCCGCATTTTGTAAATTAAGTCCGAATTACAACCGATCCGGATCTTTTGCTAGGAACAGAAAATCACAACGGCGATAAAAGAGAAGTGCGGAAAACAGGCAGAGAAGTGAAGAAAAAGGCGTACATACAAACGCACGTACACACGTCTCGTCTCGCCTCGCTCGACGAAGGAATATATGTATCCGTCTGGGTGTGCGTGTGTTGGTGTGCGCTGCAGCAGCAGCTTCTAGGCGTGAAAGAGAGAGGGATAGATTCCCTTTCGACTCGCCAGTCGCGACTTTTGGAGCGTCTCGCGAGAGAGCGAAAGAGAGACAGTGAAGTGAGGCAGAGAGCGAGGGCCATGGACGGCGTTTGGATGTTTTTGGGGAACAAAGGCGTCAAGAGCTAAAATGATTTGGCACAGCAGCGGCGATATATTTTGGATACGCAGCCAAAGCCAAATCCAAGCCATCCAAAACGATAACCAATTCCAACTCCAACTCCAATCGCTGTGTGTATGTGTGTGTCTCGACGAAAAGCCGTGGAAAAAGACGCACGCACACACACGCACACTGGGGCAGCAGCAGCAGCAGCAGACAAAGCATCGTTTTGCGAGTGCGAGCGAGAGGCAATAGCGCCTTAGTGAATAATTCATTTAAGGTAAATGTTTACAACAAATCGAATATCGAGAATTGGTGCAAAAACAAAAAAAAACAGCACATCAGAATATGAGTGTGTGTCTGTGTGAGAGTGTTTGAATGTGAGTTTGTGTGTGTAACAGGCGCCGCCATTTTTCGTTCCCATGTAACGAGCGTCTAGGGTTGGCAAATCACTGGAAATGCTCTTATAAACAATGGAGTTTGCGAATTTGATATATACAAAGCCTACACCCCAGTGAAATTTCTAGTCAAACATAATTTTCTGGTTTCTAATTTCGGTCTCTTCCAACTAATTAATTTAATTTGCAAGCCTTTCGAGCACTTGGCAACCCTTTTTCTGCCAATCTCACTGCGCATATGCTGCTCTCTCGCTCTCACCTGCGTCGTGTGTGCCAGTGCGTGTGTGTATGCGTTTGTAAACAGCTGAGAGAGCAATTTGCAAGCAAAAAAAAAGTCATTTCCATTCAGAACAATTCGGCCAGCAACAAATATTCATTTTCCATTTCCAGCCATGTTTCCCAGCACCACCCACTTGTGTTTATGTTAGTTTACTTTATGGCCCAGAAAGAAAAGAGTGACGTTTTCATTGCGCGCAGCTTCAGGAAAATGCTAAATTGAAAAGTACGGTTTGCTGCGCATGCAAATCGATAATAAATTTTATGTTGTTTGCTTTTTGGTTCACCAACACACACAAGTTTTACTTGTTTCAGTAAGTGTGTGCGAGTGTTTTCCAGGATTACCATATTGTCTTTGTTTTTTTTTTGTGGATCGATACTTTTTTTTTTACATGTGCTTGTCAAGTTAATTGATTTTTTTCGCACGTGTGTGTGCGTGTGCTTTGAGAGCCTGGAATAGGTGCGAACGAGAGGGATGTCTGTCGACGACCTCAGTTACACTCCCTCTCACTTCCTCTCGCGAAGCCATATGAGTAAAATTATAATTGTGGCCATAAATTTCAGCAGAACGAGATAAGTGAAATGTATTGCACAAATGGAATTGTGCTATAACAGCTGTTTAAGCTGATAAAACAGTTTTGCAAAACTATCCTTTGTGGCGAGAGAGAGAAAGGGAGTGTGTGTGTGTGTGCGAGCGAATACTTTTGCACTTGTCCTAGTCCTGGAAATCATAATGCCATCTCGCTCTCAGCCATGTAATCCAAGAATATCGGGGTTGCCAGATGGGGAAAAACAGTTTGCGGTTCTTAGCAATTTGAATTCCAAAACAGCTGATAATTGCCGGGTCTTAATTTAATAAATTGACCATTTAATTTAAAGTTTCAAAGTAAAACTTGTGCTTTAATATTCGTAAATCGTTTTAATGTACATATGAAAATAAAATATTTTTTTTTTTGTTATATCTGAAATTTTAATGTTCTAGTAAAACAAACAAAAAAAAAATTAAAATTTTATTTTATAGATATACAACTCGTTTAAATGTGTCAAAGTAAATCAATATAAAATCCATATGAACAATTTTTTTTTAAACTATTTGTAATGGGAATGTTCTTTTATCATCACAGACCGCCCTGCAAAATAGTAAAACATACAAAATAAATGTTATAAATTTTAAAAAATGTCATTTTTAATATTTAAAATATTAATGGTATTTTTTTTATCTTGCAGACTGTCCTGCAGAATGGTCGTCGGCTCGAATCACACGCGGCGCGGTGAAACTGGCAGCAGATTTACAAACAGCAGCAGCTCCAGTGGCTCAAACGGTGTCTCCACCGCCTCGGCCAGCAGCACCACCAGCGCAACGTCTTCACTAGCCAGCAGTTCCAATTCCACGTCGACCACGACGGCGACGGCTGCGGCTCTGCTGTCGTCCATGTCCCACAAGGGTCATGGCCCACCGCCATCAGCGCACCACCAGGCGAACCAGCAACAACAGCAGCAGCAGCACCACCACCAGGCGGCCAACCACCACCCACATGCCCCCCACTATCAGCAGGCGAATCCGCACACCAGCCACCACCAGCAGTCGCATCACTCCTCGAATGGCGGTGGCGGAGGAGGTGGTGGATCTGCTGGATCGGGATCGGGATCGGTGGTCAGTGGACTCAATGGCTGCAACGGCAGCGCCGTCAGTCGCCTGTCGCAATCCACTGGGATGTCGCCGCGTGAACTATCCGAGAACGATGACCTGGCCACATCGTTGATCCTCGATCCACATCTCGGTTTCCAGACTCACAAGATGAACATACGCTTTCGTCCTCTGAAGGTGGACACACAGCAGCTGAAGGCCATCGTGGATGACTTTATCCACACCCAGAACTACGATGTGGCCATTCAGCGCATCTACGATGGTCCGTGGATACCGCGTCATCTCAAGAACAAGAATAAGATTGCCACCAAGCGGCTCCGCGATCATGTAAGTGGGATTCATCCATTTTACCTCTATAATTTAGCTTACAATTTTGGTTGTATTTATGTAGAATTCGAGTGTTTTTATTTAGCAAAGTGCTTTTACAATGCGATCCTTGATCATTTAGCATCTCTGCTGCATATTTTGCCTATTAATCGAGATCCGAATCTTCCTTAATACCTTCCAGATTGTCCGATACCTGCGCGTTTTCGACAAGGACAGTGGCTTTGCCATCGAGGCCTGCTACAGATATTCACTGGAAGAGCAACGCGGCGCCAAGATAAGTTCGACCAAGCGCTGGTCAAAGAACGACAAGATCGAATGCCTGGTGGGCTGCATCGCCGAGCTGACGGAGGCGGAGGAGGCCGCCCTGCTGCACTCGGGCAAGAATGACTTTTCGGTGATGTACAGCTGCCGCAAGAATTGCGCCCAACTGTGGCTGGGACCGGCTGCCTACATTAATCACGATTGTCGCGCCAATTGCAAGTTTTTGGCCACCGGCAGGGATACCGCGTGTGTTAAGGTCTTGCGCGACATCGAGGTGGGCGAGGAGATAACCTGTTTCTATGGAGAGGACTTCTTTGGGGACTCCAATCGCTATTGCGAGTGCGAGACGTGCGAACGCCGTGGAGCCGGCGCCTTTGCCGGCAAGGATGATGGCCTAATGCTGGGTCTCAGCATGGGACTCGGCCTGGCCACCAGTGGACCCGGCAATAATGGTGGCTATCGCCTGCGGGAGACGGACAATCGGATTAATCGCATCAAGAGCCGGGCCAACTCTACGAACAGCACCTCGAACAGCAATAGCAACACAAATGATTCCACTGGCACCAGCGAGAGTAGCAGCACGAACGGATTGGTCGTTTCTGGCGGCGGCGGCGGAGGAGGCGGAGCAGCAGCGGCGGCTGGTGGAGCGACCGGTACTTCAGGAGCCACTGGAGGAGCAGCAGTGCCGGCGACATCGCAGCCACCAACTGGCGGCGGCAAGGAGGCCACTGCCCCTGTCTCTCTGCTCGAAAAGAAACTGCCAAACGTTGTGGTCTCACCACTGACCATGAAGGAGCTGCGCCAGAAGGGCATGACCAAGTACGATGCCGAGATGATAATGGCCAATGCAGCCTACCAGCAGCAGCACCACCATCAGCATCATTTCCATCACCACCATCATCATCATCACCATCACCACAATCATGGCCAGCATGCCAGTACTGGAGCCGAGGCCACAGCGGCTGTGCAGCAATTGGCCGCCATGCAGAAGCCAGGCGGAGGAGGAGGGGCAACCGGAACTGGAACTGGAGCAGGTGCAGGTGCTGGAGCAACAACAGTGGGTGGCGTGGCCGGCGGAGCGGGCTCCGAGGTTAATGGCGGTCGCTCCAGCAATCTGCGCAAATCGATGCGTGTGAACAGCACTAGCAGCAGCATCTCGACCGCCTCCACGGACGAGGTGGTGGTGGCCCCAGTGGTCGTTGCAAATATTCCGCTGTCCACCAAGGCACCTGTGGTCCTAGTGCCGCGCTGCAAGCCCGCCCAAATGGCCATTGCCGCACTGCATCAGAGGCAGCAGCGCCAGTTGAGACGCAGTGAACGCCAGAAGGAGAAGCTCACGGACGGCGAGAGCAGTGACACCAGCAGCGAGCAGCAGAAGAGGGAGCACAACAATCAACAGGATCACCCGGTGCCGCCCAAAATGTTCATCCTGGCGGAAGAAGCACATCCAGAGAAGACGGAGGAGAAGCAACAGGAACAGCAGCAGCAGCAGCAGCAGCAGCAGGAGAAGCGTGTGACGCGAAATAGTGCGGGAAGAGGAGGATTGGTAGCCAGATTAGCCACTGCCCATAACAATAACATTGCAACCACAACAAACAACAACAACAACAGCAGCAGCAGTAGCAGCAGCAGCAACAAAGCAACAACGATTACAAATTGTAATAATCATAATAGTAATAATAGCAGTAGAATTAATCATAATTCTAATCTTAGCGGTAGACTTAGTGTTAAATCGAAGAAGCCAGCACCAAGTGAGGCCTCGTCCACACCCTCATCCACATCCACATCCTCAGAAAATCAGCATCAGCAGCATCAGCAGGCAACGCGTCGCAGTCGCAGCCCGAGTCCCGCCTACAAGAAGAACCTTTTAGCCAGCTTCGATCCCGATATTCCTTCCAACCAAGCAACAATCAAGGAGCAACAACAGCTGGATAAGCAAAAGCAAAGGGACGAGGGAGCTACAAATCCCCCGGTCAAACAGAAAAGAAGTCGCAGGGCAGCTGCCTTGGCAGCGGCGCAGAGTATCCACTGCGAGGCTTTGGGTGGATTCTCATCGGGATCTAGTGGTGGGCAGCGCAAGAGAGCAAACCAGGCAGCAGGAGAAGCTGCCACCTCATCGTCCTCCTCCTCGAGCATCAGCAATGTCGAGCCGCTGCTCAAAACCCCAGAGCGCCGGCTGAAATTAACGTTACGTATGAAGCGTTCCCCAATTCTGGACGAAGTTATTGAGCTCGGAACGAGTCTGAGCAATGGTGGCGCTGGTCGAAATGCATCGGGTTCCCATCGCGGAGGAACAGGTGGAGATGGATCTGGTAGAGCTGCGCTAAATCTAACCGGCAGCAGTTCCAATGGCATTGAGTACGAGATCCTGCGCATGGAGGGCATTTCCGAGCATGGCAACGATGACGACGACGACGAAGAGGAGGAGGAAGAGGAGGAAGACGAAGCGCCAGCTGCGGAAGAAGAGGACGAGCCGCCGCCAAAGGAGGAGGAGCTGCAGCTGCCCACCAAGAAGCAGAGGAAGAAACAGCGCAGCCGAAGCAGGAGCAGCCAACGCAGATCGCCAGCGCCGAGCAGTAGCAGTGTATATGGCACTCCGCAGAAGAAGCGACTCCGTCTGATCTTTGGCAACGAATCCCATACCATAGACATTCCACCAGCAGCAGCCGAGGGAGCGGGCAGCGGCATGGATGACCTAAACAGCAGCGGAGGCGGTGGCGATGAGTCCTTCAATGTCTCATATGCCAGCAGCACTAGTTTGACGGTCAACACCTCCTCCAGCAGTACCAGTTCATCCGGTGGCGGCGGCGGCGGGGGAGGTGCCACCTCATCCTCTGGCGAGGCGGTGGACTCCTCATCCACGGTGGGTGGAGGAGGAACCATTGCTGCCCAATCGCCCTCATCCACGACCAGCAGCTCTTTTCAATCGGCCTGCACATCGACCACCAACAGCAATAGCTACTTTCCCAATGGCAAGCAGCGTGGAGCTGGCGAGGATTCCTATGCGATGCACTACTACCAGCTGGGCAAGTTTGCTGGAACCTCGAGCCCAGGACAGGGACAGGCCATTGTGAGCAGCAGCAGTGGTTCCTCGGGAGGAGGTGGCGGAGGTGGAGCTGGATTCCTGAGCATGCCCAAGCACACATTCGGCACTTGCGCTCTTTTGGCGCCCACCAGTTTCGCCAGTCTGCAGAATCAGCCGCAGATAAACCAGCAAAAGTCCAGCGGTGGTGGCGGAGGAGGAGGGGTAGCAGTGGTGGCCACCTCTACATCAACAGCAACGGCCGCCTCGCATCATCATCATAACAACCATCATGGCCAGAAATAACCAACGACTGATCTCCAAGCAAATTGACTAAGCACAGCTGCCATTGCCAAGAGAAGAGGAGGAGGAACGATGAGGAGGAGGATGAAAAATCAGGACCAGGACAAGGATATGGATATGGAAATGGAAATGGATTCGGAGGAGGAGCACCACGTGAAGCATAGCAGGAAACGCAACGGGTGGAGACTACGGATGGCTGCGCTGCTGGCGTCGTTGCCTCTGCTGCTGCTGATGAACCTGTGACACCCTATAGATACCAGACCCTAGATTAAGATCTTATAGTCCATGTAGATCCTTGTTGCAACCTTGATTTTTCATATTCAGAAAGCAAAAAAACAGGCTGACAAATTTTTGAAAATCGAATTCGGATATATATATACATATACCTGATTATAACTTTGATTTTTTTTTTGCTTTCTTTTCTATTTCTCTCTTTTTTCTCTTTGTGATTACTCCCAATTTCTCTATATATATCATTTTTGGTGTCCTTTATTTTGTGTTGGCGTTGCATGTTGCGTGTGTGTGTGTGTGTGTGTTTGGTGTGCTTTTCTTTTTGCAGGTGGAAATGTAAAGCTTAAAAGTAGGAAAAGGTCGGAGGAGAACGCAACATCGTGTTGCAGATACAGCAGCGACAGGAGCAACTGCAACAGGAACAGTAGCAGCAGCATCGGCAGCAACAGCAGCAGCGGCGGCAACATCTTCAGCAGCAGCAGCAACACCAGCAGCAATTTGATAGTTAAAAAGCTAAGAATAGAGTTAAATCGCATACAAATCATGTACAGTTGAGGAATAACCAGCCAGCAGGATAGCAGGATAGCAGGATGAGCAAAGCCCAGGAGCCATTAAAACAATAAACAAAAAAATGTGTGGAAGGATTAAAAAACAGAAGTAAAAACCATATTCTAAATGCAATGCACACAGACACAACAACAACAACAACAACGCAATTAGCAGCGGTTTTAGACGCCTTACAACATCTAACGTTAACTCTATATAAAACAAACAACCTTATATTTACAGAACGAAAACCAATAAATAAATATAAAGCATACTTTAGAAAATCCCAACAAGAGCCAACAACAAAACAATAGTGCAGCAGCAGCAACAACAACAAGAACAGCAATATATAAACCACTCAATTAAGTAATTAAACATTATATATACACAACAAATTTAATATTAATAACAAATCGAAAAAGTAAAAGTAGAAAAGGGGAACTTAGCAAATCATAAACAATTTCACATAACAGAATACCATGTATATAAACCAAAAAAAAAAACAAACGGAGAATTAAATTGAAGCTAGCAAAAGCGAAAATGATTAAACCGAACATACAAATAAATCTGCTAAAAACAACTCGATAAAATTGGTGATTCAAGTGGTTCGGCTTCAGCGATTTAAGTAATCTAGTTTACAATACACCCCTATATTGTTTTAATCAATTCAATTCGATCCTATCCAATTAAACCAGCTCACACATGCTTAACCATAATTTTATTCCTAGCCCTGATACCATTTTATCCATATTTTCGTAGTGTTTCATGTTGTTGTTCTCTTTAACGTTTAGTTTTCAAAATCCCGCAGTTAGGAAACTAAAAAGTAAACCATTACCATCACTACACACACACACAAAATGTACTTGGCCCACACACAGATTCGATTATATTTTTATTACCCATAGTAATAAATATAAATATGATTTTTTAACGATACGATTATTTTTTGTTTACCTATAAGTTTAGTTGCTAGCATATATAATTATACATTAATCATATTCAATATATATTATATACTTTATTCATATGTGTAACTACTGTGTATTATTTTGTAAGCCACCAACAACAATTTACAGCAGCCACGGCCGCAAAACATTCATAATAAACTAAAAAAGAACATTTAGTTTTTACAAATGCATGGTTTTTCTATCTATTCCTATCGACAGTTGATTTTGTCACACCCATTCACCTCTTTTTTGCCATTCATATGTTGAACAAAGGACATATTGCGAGTCACAGTGCTTTTTTGTGGAAATCACATCACTGTTTTGTTTATTTTTAATTATTTTTTCGTGAAAATGACATTTGGGGAGCAGTTGCCCGAGGGATACTATGTCTGTGATTGTCCTTTTACGTTTTTCAGTTGGAGTTCTTAGAAAACTCTTAAATAAGCTTGTTTTTTGATGTTTTAAAAGCTTAGCTATCTAAAAAAAAACTTGAAATTCTTCTATACTCTTTAAAATCGAGTTTATTGGGGATACCACAAAAGTCCCCAGGATTTTGAAACCAAACTTTAGGTGTCTAAAAGTATGCAGTTTATAAAAAACAGTCGTTTTTCTGAAAGAATTCGTTGTATTTCTCGGTTTGGAATATATTGATGCACCTGAAATGACATTTAAAAGTGATTTTAAAACCGTAGGCATTTGTGTGGCACCCATTGGATAGGATCGAATTGAATTGATATTTTTCATTGATTAAATTAAGGCCTTTAGTAAAAGTTTGAGTTTTTTTTAGTGTTTGCAGGATGCGATAAAATTATTTCACAATTAGTGTGTAAAACGCTTAAACAAGGAACAAAAATCGAATGTTCTTTTGTTATATCCTAAAAATAATGATCGAGTTCGCCATCTTTATCTTCAGTAATCTAATATATATCGATATATCTGACTTCATTCCGTTTTCAAAAACGAGAGGTATCATTTTATATCTTGAAAGTCTTGATTTAACTAGTCTTTTTCTCCATCTTCAGTAATCTATGGGATATTAGGGGACTCCAACAAATTAAAATCGAAATATACATCTGTATCCCTCGTTTCATGCCAATTCCAAGAACGAAAGGTATACATTAGCGTGTCTTCTCCATCCTCTACAGCGTTTATTTCTTGCGTTACAAAAAGATTTGCTTGTTGGGGGGGGAATCGGTGACTGGGTCTAAGGGCGAACCCTTATAAACGTAATCATTCACTCGAATTCCCCCAGTCGCTTAAGATCTACTAGGGTATTACATGATCGTGACTGCCTTGCAGCAGGAATTACAGAACAAATGAGGGGTGGGGGTGTGCGGTTAAGCGGATCCTCAGTGCTGCTCCGCCTGGGTGCTCTTGGGGAAGAAATCCCGGAGTCCTTAGTGGCCGTACTTCTGGAAGTCCCACTCGCGATTGTCCAGCGGGCAGACCTGGCGGGTCTTCAGCCACCGGGAGATGCAGTGGAAGTGGAAGGCGTGGTTGCAAACGCCCCAGGCCACGGTGCACTCCTCGCTGGTGGCGGACGCCTGGTTCGCCTGGCACTCGATGCACAGGTCCATGATGTGGTTGCGGCAAATGGCGCAATTGTCCACCACGATGTCTGGAGGGGATTGGATTTGAATGGCATTCTTGTCACTTGTAGGTTTTGCAAATTTTGGTTTATTACTCACCCCAGGCCCACAAAGCGACGGCGTTCCACTGAATTATGGTTTATGGACATTTTCGGGAAAGAGAAGAGGATATTTTCAATGGATATTTTCAATGGCAATGACCCAGCTTTTTTCACCGATCACCTACCTTTTTCACTTCGAAGCGCTTCTTTTCGCCCTTGCTGCTGCTCGATGGCACCTCGAACTCTTCCTCGTCCACTTCCATTGCCGCTATTAAGGCTGTTAGTTCCTGAGAAATTAATAGTTTAGTTCGCAATTTATTTGCACTTAATTCTCCTTTTTTATGACTCCGTTTCGATAGCAAAACGTATCGAATCGAAAATGGTGTGGGTGCCAGTGTGACGGTTGGCAGTTAAGACGATTTTCTCGGTATTTAAATATGTATCGTTACCTTGGTTATTCGATACATTTGAATTCGATAACTTTTTAGTTTAAATTTAAACAACATCTTTTTATTCATTTATTGTCCTTACTATTGTAATTAATATTTAAAATTATATATAAAACTATAAGTAAATCATATTAAACAGAAAAGATTTTGATTGTATAATCACTCATATTTAAACATTTCAACAAAACTCTTGAATTGGAATAAATTATAAATTTAATTTTAAAAAATCAAAAGCATATTTCGATTTTAAAAATGTTTATTGAGATGAATCTAAAAATGCCAATGTATGTATTTTTTCTTATTTTAGTATTTACCAATTAGAATATATATTTTATAGACCTATTTAATTGGAGTAAAGTAGTTTAAAGTAAAATATTTCCATGTATTTAAATATTATATTACTAAAATTCCTTATACAATATTCATCAAATCTGGCTGACTTTTGAGTATTGGGAAGTAATGTTAAAAATCTTGCAGTGTGTGGCTTTATACAGTACAAGTTTAAAAATTAAACATTTATTTTCCATACACACTTCTATATTTTTCGCTTAATAAATTAGATTATTCAAATTCAGAACTCTGGCTCTGGCCTTCTTCTTCATCTTGCCCTTGGCCCGCCTTTCCTGCTAGGAGGCGCTGCCCGTCTTGTGTCCACTTCCCTTTTCCCGCTTCACCACGGGCAGTCGCGTCCAGATGTATCCGCCCGATCTCTGGGCGGTGTACTCATCGACATCCGGCAGGGGAAAAGGTGTACTCCGATCGAAATAGTAATTGCTTGGCGCGTGCATCACGAACTCAAGATAGCAGAGCTTTCGGGACAGCTCCTCATCGGGTCCTGCAGCATGGAGATAGGGATTAGAAAGCTATAGATTGGTCTACAGAACAGACATACCAATTAGGTAAGTAGCCGGATCGAATCCCTCCTGGGGATCCGGGCTATCCTGCGTGGGTATCAGCCAGGTGAGGAAGGCGGACTTCTCGCAGTAGGCGTCCACCAGCAATCCGCGTATTTGGGCGTAGTAAAGATTCTGATCCCCATCCACTATGCTGACGATATCCCCGATCTGCATGTAGCTACCCTTGTAGAAAACGCTCTTCACAAACCTGGTGCAGGCCTGCACCTTTGGCGTCTTCTGGGCGGGTCTCTTGAACAGCGTGCGGCGACTCCGTGATCCCGGGGCTCCGCCGCCTGGCCCACCAGCTGGACCGGACTTGCCGTGCTTGTTGGTGTTACTGGGATGGGCACCAGCGCCGGCGAGATGTGTGGAGCTGCCGGTGGAGCCGTTCGGCCCGTGGTTGTGGCCATTCGACTGGCTATTGCTGCTGCTGCCTCCGTGCGTGCCCTTGCCCGTTTGCTTGGCCTTAAACCGCGTGCTCTTCCGCAGGCGCTTCATAATGGCTGGCGTTCGCGTGTTCACCTGGTGGCCCGTGCCATTCAGACTGCTGCGGGTGATCTTGCCCGCTGGCCGCGGGCTGGGATTGAGCGGTGCCTCCGGCGAACTGGGTGGGATTTCCTCTTGCGACTGCGATGGCTTCAATGGCTTGTCATCGTCCTCGATTTTAATCGTTGGCGGAGAGCTGGGCGGCTGGACGGGTGGCTGTTCTAGGGGCTTCTGGTCCACGTCCACCGCCTGGTCCTGCCCCTGCTCCTGCTCCTGTTCCTCCTCCTTCACCTCTGGCGACGGTGGGTTGTCCTCTTTCGGCTGCTCCAGCTCGAGCACCGTGGGCATGCGCTCGTTGGTGGTCAGATCGTTGTCTATGTCCATGTCCGTGGAGTCCTTCTGCGTGTCTGGGCACGGGCAGGAGGGGGCTGCAGCGGAAGCGGGTGGATTGGAAGCCGTAGGATCAGAATCCGCAGTTGCGTCCACTTGGAGGGCATCTTCGGCGGGGGATTCCTTGTCGCCGGGACTCTGGGCGTCGGGCTGGGCGCCCTTGCCGTCCTCGCTGTCCATCGGGTCGGGATCGGTGGACATGGCTAAACCGTTGGCCGATCGGCAAGCCCTTTATTCAGATTTTTAACGTTTTTTAAAGTCAACACCGCGAGATACTTTTCAACCACCTCACCTCGATATCGATAGACGATGGGGAAGTGCAAATTCAACCACTTGATATCGATAAGCGATGTAAATTTGTTTTGTAGATTAAAAACTGGCACGATATTTTTTTAGCTCGTGATAAGGGAAGCTAAAATGGTAAAATAATAAGTTAAAACATATTAAAAATGGAAATTTAAGTTGTTCCGCCTATCGATACCGATCGCTATCGAAACCCTGAGCAATCGGCACCTACGGCTTCCGATTGACATTCGAATTTAGTAGGAAATAAACCGTTTCACCATCTGGTAACACAGTAAAAGTAAAAAAAAGTAGAATTGACAACACGAATAATTCGAAATGGATTTCGGGGCGCTGCTGCACTTAGCGAAAAAGAAGAACGATGCGGCCACCAAGGACGAGGTGAGTAACCATGTGCCCGCATGGAGATAAGTCCTCCGGGGGACCCGGAGACGGGCGAGCACGGCGATCCCCACCTCCGCCGATGACCCCAAAAACCAGATGAGATGATCGCACCCAGTGACAAGATCATGTTTCCACTTTCAGCGCACGGGACAGGGCAAATACTACAGCACCAAGTATGCGCCGCCCAAGAAGGAGTCCAAGGAGTCCAAGCAGCTGTCCAACAATATCCAGAAGTTTCTCCGCAAGAAGGAGGCCGAGGAGGCGGAAAAGAAGCGCGAGGAGCGCGAGAAGCTCAACAATCTGCTGGCCAAGAGAGATGAGAAGTCCAAGAACAAGATCAGGAAAATGCTCAAGGTCACCAAGTCGGCCAACAAGTCCGTTCTGGAGGATGCCAACGAGGGCGCCAATGGTGCCCACGAGGCGGGCGAGGGTCAGGGCGACGACTATGGCTATGTGTCCAACGAGGCCAACGCCTTCTACGAGAAGTACATCGAAAAGGTGCGCGATGTGCAGGAGGACAAAAGATTTGCGCCCAGCAGGCCGCAATCCCTGCGAGATCTTTCCGGGACCAAGGAGCGTGTAAAGGCGGCCATCACCAGGGAGCGGGATGAGGCCAGAAGTCACACGCGTCAGAGGACCAGTAGCGTTGTCTCGTCCAGTGCCACCAAGTCAAAGGAGCCTAGCATGGCCCGTTCCTATAGCACCTCGAAAAACCTTTACGATCCGGAGGCGGAGAAGCGCGAGGAGGAGCGCAAGAAGCGGCAGGAGGAGGAGCAACGCAGGGCCAAGATGAAGCGTCCTGCCCAGCCGCCACCCATGGATTTCCAAGCCCTCCTCCGCTTAGCCGAAAAGAAGCAACACGAACCGGTGGTCTTTGAGCCCGAGAAGAAAAAAGAAACAGAGCGTTTGCTATCCGCCCGTGAGAAGCGCGAAATGGAGGAGCGCCAGCGCCAGAAGGAGCAGCGTGCCCTGCGCGACAAAATGCGGGAAACTGAGGCCAAGGAGGGGCCCAAAGCCGCCGCCGCTGCCGCCACCAATCGCATGGAGCCCAACGGGCGCATACCCAAGCTGAATCAAGCCAAACCGGCGAATCCGCCAAGTGATACTTTCAAGAAACCCTTAGTCCCTCCGCAAGCGAAGGCCAAATCAAGCTCCACCAGTTCAGTTAGCTCCAATTCCCTTTCCCATTCCTCTACTAGCCGTAATTCTGCCCCAAGTATAAAGCCTGCCAGTAAGTCAGCTGTGGCCGCCGCCAAACCAGTAGCAACTGCATCGTCGTCGGCGGCGGCGGGGAGATCCAGCTCCGTTTCTAGCAAGGCTCCTACCCCTGCACCCTCCAAGAATCCCTATGCGGCGGCCATCAAAAACGGAGCTGTGCGAGAGTTTCCACCCAGGGACCGGCCTGCCGTTCCATCCAAAGTTCGTCCAGCTGCTCCGGCGGTTGCCAAAACACGACAATTTCCGCCCGCGGATGTCCAGAAATCTTCAGGCGGCCGCCAATTCCCGCCCGCAGATGTCAAAAGACGCAAACCCCAGGAACAGCCAGGAAACAAAAGTAAGAAAACAGCTTAAAACCAAGTATATCACTATATATCACTCTTTTTAAGGACGCATTTATGACGACGATGATGAGGACGAGTACGATTCCGAGCTGGACGACTTCATTGATGACGGCGACTGCGAGGAGGACATATCCTCGCACATTCGCGACATCTTTGGCTATGATAAGCGTCGCTATCGCGGAATGGACGACGATGATCGCGGGATGGAGTCCAGTTTTGCGCAGATGCAGCGGGAGGAGTTCATCAGCAAGAAGTTGGGTAAGTTATTGGCCCCAAAAAGCACTCGAATAGCAAACTAATCACTTGTTTTCGCAGGAATGCAAGAGGATCTGGAGGACATGCGCATGGAGGCGGCGCACAAAAAGCAAAAAATGGCCAAAAAGCGAATCAAACGCATTGATGACGACGACGACGACTAGTCTGTTGACATTTTCAGTCAGTCGAATCGTCGTGCAAATCTCAAAAAATATCCGAAATGCGACCTTATGTGTTATCTTATCTGGCGGATGACTCAGGGTCGCCCGATGCTGAAATTCAGGAGCTGTGCCCGTTGAGTTTATATATATCTGAAGATATTGTTTAGTTAATTATGTGCCCTAGTTAGCATAAGCACACCCAAATCACACACACCTACCACATACTTATACACACACACACACACAAGGTATGTGCGCCTATATATAGATCATCTATAATCATCTATTTTTGCTATCTAAAAACGGAAACTAACAGAAAATGAAGCTAACTTCGTCTAGCCGTTGACTTTTTGGTATAAGAATACCATCCGATAGATGTATATATAATATATATATTTCACTTTTGATTTCCCGGAAATTTTCGTTTAAAATAAGAATGACGGATATATACATTTCACTTTTGATTTCCCTGAAGTTTTCGTGTAAAATGAGAATGCAAATGAAATTCGTCGACTTAGCAATTGGTTTAATGGCCCCGGGGCTTTGAACTTCTCTAAAAACCGCTTTGTTGCCTTGAGAAGGTACATATGTCCCAGTAATTTGTCATGTTCAAATTAAAAAAAACCAGTTTGCGCACCACTTTATAACAATTTTACATGTACTCTAGCTAGGCCCAAATAAACATTTATAGATTGAATTGAAGACCATCTGATAATTGTTATTTGGAATTGCTATACCGGAAACTGACTCATGCGTATTTGCGAAACTCTGATGAATATGACATCGTTTGGTGGGTTTACTAACCAATTTGAATACCCTTGTGTTAAGTTTTTAACTTTTGTTACGGTTTCAAAATTAAATTTTAAAAACCTTTGCAGCCTTTCCATAAATACGATATTAGTTTTTGGAAAATAATTAGAAATTTGTCATCAATAAGTTGATTTGAAATATATATTTGATTTCGGTTATATCTTTAGCTCTAACATTTTATTGCAGCTTTTTAACTACATTTTTAAAACCTTGGCAGCTACTTTTTAAACACGTTCTTGATATAATCGAAATCGGAATACTCTAGACGAAGTTAGCTTTTTTTTTTTTATACAGTTAGTTGAAATATTAACGCCTGACGTTTTGTATATTTCCATAATAAAAGAGATCTCTCCTAAGGAAAGAAATATTATTTGTTTAAAATGTTGTCTAAATTGGTCATGCAAATCCAGATCTTTTTATATCTGTTATTCCTTAAATAAGATCTCCCGTTCATAAGCCCAATGGCGTGAAGAGATTCCTATGAACAAACAATTTTAATGGTAAACAACAAAAAAAATCTCATTACAAACGAATTCTTACAGTACAAAACAAATTTCAGTGGCTTAAAAATGGATGTGTCATGCGGAGATCGCCTCCGCAATTTATGCAATGCAGAGATGGACGCCACAGTAAAGTTCCCACGGTGGTGCCTTCAGGGTTAAGGTGAGATGTGCCCCCTATTTTAAGGAGCTCCAGAGGTCCAGGACCTAATCTAATCGATCTGGCTCCACGACCACGGCGCTGCCCACTCTTCTTCGATCGCAAACGGGATGTGGATCGCCGCTCCGCACTCCGATGGCCGTCTGGGCGGTGTAGGCCTTGTCCTCATCGAGGTATTTGATGTCGTGACCAATGCCTCGCAAGTAGGCCACCGTATGCCTTGGCACGGCAGTCTCCACGTCGATGTGATTGGGCGCCAGCTGGTGATGGAGTCTGCCCGAATTCACCGCCTTCTCGATCGGCTCGTTGAGCACAAAGTATCGCAGGATGGTCTGGGCCACCGAGGTGGTAATCCTCGAGCCACCGGCACTGCCCACAATCATCTTCACATCCCCATTGTTATCCAGAAAGATGCTGGGACACGTTGAGGACATCGGACGTTTGCCCGGCTTGATGAAGTTCGCCGGACTGGCAGGTATTCCGTAGGAGTTAACCGTTCCGGGTGTACTAAAGTCGTCCATCTGGTCATTCAGGATGAAGCCCGTTTGGCGGGATCTCACCTTGGCTCCGAAATGGTTATTAATGGTACTGGTCACCGAAATGGCATCGCCGTTGGGCGCCAGAACGGAAATGTGCGCCGTACCATGATCCTCTTCGTTGGCAAAGTTGGCGCCATAGTATGACATATTGTCGAAGGTCCTGTTGTCCAGGATCAGCTTACGGATGTCCGCGGCAAAGGCCGGATCGATGAGGTTCTCGTAGATCTCCTGCACTTCCGGCTCGAAGTGGTAGTCGCCCAAATTGGTGCGATGCCCGTAGGCGTGCTTAAAGGTCTCGATCAATCGCTGCCAGTACTTGTCCGTGTTGGTCGTGTACAGCGGCTCCATCACGTTCAGGATGAAGGTCAACACGGCCCCACTGGTGGGCAGTGGCGAGGTGACCAGCTCGTAGGGACCAAAGCGGGCATGCAGGGGAATTTCCCAGCGAACACTGCAAAGAAAGAATTTAAAAGTTGGGTCTTAAACGGGTTTTCAGATGGGGAAATAATCTTACAAAGTGATATCTAGATATCTATATGATTCATAGAACATATCTACGAATAAAATGTTTAAATTAACCCTATGAAATGACTAATAATACCAACTGACAATGCCTGGGTCACCAGCCATCTTTTTAACTAAAGTATTTATTATATTCGCCTAAAGTTTGAATAGTTTTGGTTCACCAACCTATCTAGAGACCGTAAAGTAGTTAATAGAACACATCCACGGATAATGGCATGTTGGAAAATCGAATCAATTGATTTATAATATTATTTGGAAAGGTCTGGGTCACCAAAATGTTGTCGTAATTTTAATATCTTGTTAAAACGAATAGTATTAGGATAGTTTTGGGTCACCAAACAAGCTGACGGCTTTAAAATAAAGCTAAACATAATCTTATAAATAGATTCCTAGTACTTATGTAAAAGTTCTGGGTCACCAGCCCTCTTCAGAACTTATAAGTGGGGTATTGTAGTGTAATTTAGGGTTCTCGAAGGACCACAAGCATTGTAAATGGATTTCCCGACTGATTAACACCCCATACTCACTCGTATTTCTGCAGATCCTCCTCGGTAATGATGCCGCCCATTGCCTGGATGTCCTCGACCAGTTTCCTACCCACCCTGCCGCCGCCGTAGATGACATCGGCGCCCTCGTTGGCGATAATCTCCAGGGTTTCGGCCAGAGCGTGACGGTACATGATCTCGCCCGCCTTGTAGAGCTCGTCCGTTTTCGGATTGATGAAAATCTCGGCCATGGAGGGTTCACCGCGGATGTACTCCTCATCGCGCAGCAGGACCCTGGCCAGATATTTGGACACCACGATTCCATGCCGGCAGAGATCAATGGTGGGCTGGAAGAGGGTCTTCCAGGGCAGCCGTCCGTATTTGGCATGCAGCTTGGAGTAACCATAGATCTCGCTGGGAATGGCACAGGCCAAGGCGCCCGTGATCTCCCTGCCGACGAACATGTCCTGTGTGGCCGCCGCCGGTGCAGTTTCTCGGGCAATCAGGGTCTCCTTGTGGCCCATCTCCTTCGAGTAGATGGTGGCCACAAAGCCACCGCCCACGCCCAGGCTGTGCGGCAGCATGACGCCCTCGCACAGCATGGTGGCTATTGCCGCATCCGCCGCGGAGCCGCCGATGTCCAGCATGGTGCCACCCACCTCGGCACATCCCTCGCCGTTCGAGGCCACGGCGCCCATGCGACGCGGCTCCTCCGTCTTGTCCTTGAGTCCGAAGACCAGGCCCAAGGTCAAGCCCACGGCGGTCACCGCCAGGATAATCCAGCAGACGGCATACTTCTTGCAGCACCTAAAAAGGGATAACGAATCAGCAATGGAGGCTATTTCAGTTGGTAAGTGCTCTCTTATGGGGGGGAAACTTGCCATCCAATGGGCCACCCTACCCGACTAATAGGTCACCAAAGGCGTCGAACAGCTCTCCATAAAACATGGTATATTGGAATCTTTCGAATTCCAGACTGAGTTTTCAAAAGGTGCTGCGATCAAAAGGTCCAATATACGTTTTTCTCTATAAGAATCGGTTTTCTTTGAAAACTTTTCAATATTTCAACAACCACAAACTTTCTTTGACCATTATCTTTTGTTTCATAATATCTGTTATTAGATAGGGATATAATATTTAAAATGTATACACTTTTAAGACACTTTCTTTTCTTTTAATCCTCACTCTTTTTTTTGGGATGCACCTTTTTTATGAGCATTTTATTCTTCAACCGACTTTGGAATATTTTTAAAAAACGTTTTTTTTAATTCTTTTTCATAGCCCAGTACTTACAACATTTTCTGTGTGTATCCTTACGACTACGACTACGAACTTAAATTAAATTGGAACTGGTAAAAAAAATATTCGGCGAAATTGCCGAGGCTGGAGTTAATTAAATGGCCATCGGACGGCATCCAGCGCCTTATATATCCATCCGGTTATCTGGTTTTTAATTGATGATAAGACAAGAGCCCACTATATCCACGTGCCTTACTTCGAATCCCTATCCAAATCCGTGCTACGTCAGAAATAACAAATTTCTGCTGATTAAGAGGCCGGCAAAAACCAAAGAAACCAAATCAAATGTCGCGTCTTAATTGCATATCATACTGCTTTATCTGCCAAGGTGCGATAAAGCCGATTTAAGGTCAATCTGGGATGTTTTTCTGTGCTAAAAATAGGGAGTCATTCAGGAGAAACTAATTAATATCAATGACTAATGGTAGGGCTCGATAAGGAAAGAAGTCTGCTGGACTTTAACCTTGTACTTGGCGAACAAATATGGATTATATCTTGGGGGTTTCTCTTGATATATATGTATAGGTTTGGATTGATTTTATTTTTTAAAGTGGGCTTTTAAAATAAATAACCGTTAACGGTTGACAAAGTCTGGCAACTCCAAGATTTTTTATTAATATTTCAAAATAATTTAGAGGGTATATTTTAGATACGGTTAAAAACTTTAAGGAAGTAGAAGCAAATAAAATTGTTATTTTTAAAATTTGAATTTGCCCAAATAAAATCCAATTGGAAACAACCAGGTGTGTGACAACGCTAGGCTAGCCGTGTCACCCACCTCACACTTTAAAGCGACCGTATTTTTGGTATATTTGCATACAAGTTAGTATTAAACCAAATATCACCTAGAGCCGGACGGTATATTTGAAAGGTATTACCGCGGTCCCACTCGACACGAAATGAAATCGTTTTTTTTGTAAAATAAAATCGGCTGGGGTATTTTTGTGTAGTGTATATATGTCGAATATCCAATCAATGTGAAAGTGAATCGTGAAAATAATGAATGAAAATCGTGGCGGAAAATGAAACGTGAGTGGCGGCTGTTTTAGCCACTGGGAAATGCGAATTGAAAACGCAACCAAAAAACCAAAGCCGAGTTTGCACGCACACCAATGCAGCGCCTGAGTGCTGCACATATGCAAATGTGCCTGTGTGTTTGCCCAAGAGTGAAATACATACCTACATATATATATGTAGATTTTTTCTAAGCGAAATCTAATTGAAATGGCAAACGGTAAAAGTAACACAAGGATAACTGTGCCAGTGTGTGCGTGTGCTGTAAAAAACCAAACATTTTTTTGAGTGCAGTGGCTTCTTTTATTTCATTTCTTTTTTGTTTTTTTTTTTTTTGAGGCTGCAACGCCCACAGATTTAGTCTCTCGAAAAAGAAGAGAAGACGAGAAACGGTAGAAAAAAAGTGGAAGGAGGAAGAGAGAAAAACAAAAAAAAAACAAAACTAACTAACAGCAACAACAATTGTTAAAGGAATATCGCTCTCTTTCGGTGTCTGTGTGCGCTGCTCTTTGTGTGGGTGTGTGCTATGCTTTTGTTGTCGTTTTGATAAAAACGAGAAAATCTCGAAGAAAATTCAGTGCGTCTGCGCCTCCAAAACCAAAAACCAAGGGAAAAAAACATTGCAAAAACAAAAGACCAGCAAAACAATTTCGGCCTTGGCTAAAAAGGCAAAGGAAAAGAAAACAACATCAAAGTGGCAAGGCAACACACACACACACACACGCATACAGCTGCAATTTGAAAGGGCAAAAGCACAACAACAACAAGAGCATCTGCAACTGGAACAACAACAACAAAAAACCACAACAGCCACAAAACAAACACAAGTGCAAGTGCAACCGGTTATTTAACCGCTTGTTTCGAACTCGAAATCTTATTGGGAATAATATTTAACCGCTTCTTTTAAAAACGAAATCTAATTGGACATTGTTTTTATCCCTGGCTTAAAAATTCTTTTTCAGTTGATTTTTATCATTCTTAAATTATATTTTATAACTTATGATAAAATGCTGGTCTGTAATGTCCTTTCTGGGGTTAATACTTTTAGCAAGCGATTGCTAACCAACAGAGATAAACTTTACAAGATAACTTATGTAAATACTTAAACTGAGTTTTATATATTTTTCTTTGACGATTCATAATTTAATGATAAGCTAAAGCTTTTACAATGTCTTAATACATAAAAATATTATAACCCAGGCTTATTGATAAGAATAAATATTTAAAGATCCATTTGCCCGCAATATGAGCATTATAGTGGGCATTATGTAGCTTTCAAATTAATTATTAAAAATAGATTTTAAAAATAAACCACTGTTTAGGTAGGATTTAAAGTACTAGGAGACTTCAAATTTCAGTTTTAAAATTTTAGTTCTTTATAACTTGATTATTTCGTATCTATATCCTTAATACTTAGTACTTCTATTTCTTAGAAGGTATCTATAGAACTATAGTTTTGAACACTCATTCGGCTTGATAATTTAACTTAAAAGGCTGTGCTTTCCACAAGATACTCGAGTAATCCCAGTATCCCAACAGCCCCCAGCTCTTTTTTCCTAGTAAAACAAAGGGCCCTCAAAGCGCACTCCTCATCGAGGTGCTCTTGTTGTTGTTTTTGGCCGTGTGGCTGCCCACACGCAAGGATATTCCAGATTTCAAGTCTTCAACTGTGACGCACAGAGAAAAATAAGAAAGAAAAAAAGACATGCACACAGATACTGAAACTCACACACACTCTTGCAGGCGGTGAAGGCGACAACGCACAACTGGTGCTCGTTGTTACATAAAAGGCAACCTCGCCCTCTCTTCGTCATCATCTCGAAGAATCATCATCATCATTAATATATAGCATCATCGGCAACCGCATCTCTGTAGAGTGAGGGCATAAGTGCAGGGGAAGAGCAGAAAGAATCGAAGGAGGAGCAGTTGGAGGAGCTGAAGGAGCAGCTGAAGGAGGAGCTCCTGGACACCATGAGCGTCTTCGACGACTTCCAGCGCCTGTGGATGCAGCGCTTTCCACAGAGCTCGCTGTCCGACGCCTGGGAACTGGATGTGCGGGCCAGTCTTGAGCGGCACAAGCTGCGCATCCTCGAGCTGAGCAAGGAGCTCGAGCAGGAGACCCTCTATGTGGAGTATCTGGAGCGTCTGCTGTCCGATGTGGAGAAGTACCGCGCCTCTGGCGGGGATCCCACCGCCCTCTTCGAGGCGGCCAGCGGAAGCGGAAGTGGAAGTAGCACCAACAACGGCAGCAGCACCACCAATGGAGCTCCGCCAGCAGGAAGCACCGCCAACGTGGACAAGGAGTTTGTGAGTATAAAAGATCATATGATACGAGTACTTACATCTTAAAATGAAGAGTATTTTATCACACTTTTAAGGGAATGAGTTTATTGTATCTGCTAAAATCAGGTTTTACTGATAGAATTTTTATATATATTTACTTAATTAAGGTATATCTTCAAAATAAGAGTATTATATCACCTCTAAAGGAGCAAGTTTATTATGGTATATCTACCGAAACTAGCATTTACCCATACGATTCTTTGCTCAGTTGTATTTTATATGATTAGAAATGAGAATGTTAGCTTAAATAAGATATATATTTAAAATGAGAGTATAATTTACTAATCGAATTTGTTGTACAATTATACTTTGATTGATTAGGTATGACAATTATTACCTAAAGTTACTTACTTATAAAACATCAAGTAGATTCATTTAGGATCTCTGTACAATATGTATATTATTAGATCATTAAAATATTTCACTAATTTGTTTTCAGCTTAATACTTCCCCTAAGATTGTATCCCTTCGATTTTAAAAGCCTTTGGGGAATTAATAATGATTTTTCATAAGAAATGAATATTTCAAGAACAATACCGATAAGATTCGTATGCATAAATATTTCAAGTCCATTCATTATTTTCTTAACGACATTGTCGTGCTCCCAAGTGAATTCACTGTAAAGTCTTCCCCATCCCCGTGAGTAATACTTTGGAACTACTATATAGCTCCTCTTTTCCGATCGGCAAGGGCTGGGGTATTACTACCAGGCGATCAGCTTTGTGGAGCGGGCTCTTTCTTCGGCTTCAATTTCTTTCGCAAATGTCATTGCCTCCTTATCAGTAGAGAGTGGAAAGCGGAGAATCGGGGGCCAGCGAAGCTAATGTTCAAATGCATAGAGCGGAGCATTCGAAATTATCGATAGTGAACTGGTTCATAAACTGAAGAATAATATGTTTTTTTGATATTTAGAAAGTTCAGTGCATGACTTTGATTTTACCTCCAGTTTAAAGAAATCACCGAGTTCTTAAGTTCGTTCAGGCTTGGGTTCGGTGAGTTTTATGAAACAGCTGCTTTTTCTGAGACCCTGTATGAGTACAGTCAAGCTTTAATAACACGAATTACCAAGGAATTACTTATTAAAATAAAGGTTCCTCAAAATTACTACATATGGTAAAATAAACTTTAATAGATCTATGGTATTTAAAAAAAAAAAATTCATCATTCTATGGTAAAAATCATAAGTTTATGTAAATAATAGGTAATCCTCTAAAAATCAAAATAATCCTTATGTTTATACCGATCTGTTCGGTTTGGGTTTACATTAATAATAGGTAAACCTCAGATAATCGAAATGATCTTGATATTTTGCCCGATCTGTTCGGTTTGGGTGTACTATATGGTATATGGGTTTACTATATGGTATATGGTAAAATGATACGTTTATAGAAATACCAGGTAAACCCCTAAAAAATGATCTTGAGATTGTTTCCGTTCTGTTTGGCTTGGGATTTGGAAGTTAGCGTTACGGAGGTTGGGCTGTAGGTGTGTGCGTATGTCCATGGGCGCTACCACTTCTATAATCATTCGTTCCGATATCTCGAATAGCGACCCCTTATCTACCCACACCACCGGTTTTTTATATTTTTTTATACTGAACTGAACGCGGGTTTGTCGGGTGTGTGTGAGTATTATTTTCTTTAGGTTTTTCGCGCTGCTGCTGGCGTTGCTGCATATATTGTCATATATTGTCGCCAGTATAGTTTTGGGTGAATAACAGTGACGGGACGAACGGACGGATACGGATACGCGTCGAAACATTAAATATCTATATATATATTCCGTATGGGAAAACAGTGAAAATTGCGTGTGTTCCCCAGCTTGTGAGTTGTTGTTTACAACCGAGAGAGAGAGAA